TTAAAAATAGAATATCAAATATTTTAAATTTTACAACCAAAATTCATGTTCTATTATGAACTTTATTGAAATAAAATTAAAAATAAAATCTAATTTTTTTCTTAAAAAATTATAATTAATATATAATTATACTATCTATTGAAATTTAATTTGGTTGTTGAAACGACCAAATTACCCTAATTAAAGTTAAAATATATTGTATTTATTATAATTTGACCTCTTGTTTAATTTTTTAGTTTAATTCCAATAGATAATATAATTATATATTAATTATGTTTTAAGAGGTTTACGTGTAATTTATTAACGAGTGTACTAGTGTACATTTGACCGAAGGGGTTTAAATGTTATCTGTGTGTAAATTTTAGGGGATTTGTGTATAATATTTCAAATGTTAGAGGATCTGAGTGATTAAGTAACAAATTTAAGAAATCTGAGTGTAATTCTCCCAAAATTTAATTATGGCCTTTTGAAAGCAGAAGACACAATGGTTTGCAATGTGTTATTAACCATTATTAAGTATCTCAACCTGAAATTTGGATCAACAACCAATCCTTTATATATTTCCTCACGATATATTCCCTTTGTACTCATCAAAATTATCAACCAAATCAATGGAGCAAACTGAAAGAATTGGGATCAAAATCTACAATATAACCCCACAAGATGATAGAATGCAACTACTTTCATAGAATATCCTATGCAAGCACCGCTTCGCTCTCTGATGTAGAGTTCCCCTCTTTCCCCACCGTGGCGACTGCAACTCCAGGCAACATGCTAGTTTTCTAGTGGAAGCTCCGCTATTCATCTACTATGGTAACCTATCTTCCCTCTCCTATTTTCCACTTTTTTTTCTTGTTTCATTCAGCATACTACACCCAAACCCAACCTCTTACATCTGTAAATAAAACCTAACCCACAAACATAGCTTCCAATCTCCTACTACAATCATCAACAATTTCATCTCCTCTCAGCTGTGATTCCATCTTTGAATTTAAATTTGCTCATTTTGATCCTCCTCCATTAATGCATACCAACTGTTTGACAAAAAGCCTCATGAAATCATTGTCAAAAAGTCTCTCAGAGACAGCTATGGGGCAACTGGACAAGCCACATACCAAGCAAACAAACCACTCCCACTCCCATACCCCAAACTCAACCCTATAACAAAACCTATTCAACCTCTCAAGGATTCCTTACAACAAAATCTCAATCACCTCACTAATTCAACAAGCCATCTTCACCAGTCTACTAGAAAGGCCTGACTTCCGAATTACCCTTCACATTTCCTACAAGAATGCCTTAGTCCCAGGGATCACCAAAGAAATCTATGCCACCACAAATGAACTTGTGGAACCATTGGAAAGAAAACTTGAGGATGATCTAGGTAGTCCCAAAATAATCTTATCCAAAGAAGATAAAGCTTGAATTAGGCATCCTTGGGCAGATGCTATTATTTTCAAAACATATGGGCGTACATACAATTATCAGTACTTGATTGGGAAGTTGAATGCCTTATGGCAACCCAATGAAAAAATGAAATGCATAGCTTTAGGAGAAGGCTACTATGTGGCTTGTTTTCAGTCAAAAAAAAGATACTATGAGGACACTCAATGAAGGCTCCTGGTTCCTTGGACAACAATTTATCAGGGTCAGATTGTGGGAGCCAGAATTACAGGTGCTAATGGATTCGTCTGCCTAGATTACCAATTGAGTTTTATGACTCTCTAGTCCTTAAGAAAATAGGACTCAGAATTGGAAGGTTGATTATGATTGATGCCCAAACTGAAGACATGTCCCGTGGGAGATTGCAAGAATGTGCGTTCAAATCGTTATCTCAAAACCACTGGTCTCGCATATATTCATTGCAAAAGACAAACAACTGGTTATGTATGAAGGCTTTAAGAAGATACGCTCCACGTGTGGCCATGATGATCACAATACCAAAGCTTGTAGGCTACAGGAGACCATTCCTATCTCTCCGGCATTTATCTCAACCAACGAGTGTGTGGAGAATTTTCTCCAGAAAGGAGCGATGGTGGATGGACAAGACTGGCTCACGAACCGAAAGGCTATAAGTTCGCGTTATGTGGAGAAGTTTATGTCACGCTGCGGTGCTCTGTGCGCGTATGTGAGCTTTAAGAGCTAATTCACCAGTCAATTCGTGCTACACTCTTATTTTATAAAATTTACGGATTTGATTTTTTAATTTATAAATTCAATTAATTGGTGAAAGGGATGGGCAATCACGAGATAGTCTCTCTATTATGAAATGTCTTATTTGAGTCTTAACTACTAATTCAAAAAGACAATTTGTCACTACAATATTGCTAAAGTCAAGCAGTAAACCACGGTACTTCTGTGAATTGAACCAAGTTTAATAATTATATTGGAGTCAATGATAATCCTAAACGAGTACGGTTTACCAAACCAACAGCTCGGATGGTATTCGTGCACTTATACATTTATTTATTACTACTCAAATTTTTCTTTAGAAAATATTGATCCACACTTATAGATACATATCAATTGTAAACTATAAGTATTATTTTAGGACTTTATAATCAACATATATTTAAAAATTAAATAGTTTGTTTCATAGTTTTGAATAATATTTAATTTTTATTAATTTTTATGGATGAACGTGTATCAGTATACATAAAATATAACGCTCTCAAAGCCCGCCCCGCTCTCATATGACTCAGGCTCTCAACCTCCTCTTCAATTTGTTATAGGATAGTCTTTGTATTATTCGTGTCAATATTTGAATTAATAAAATTATTTAATTTTAACACAATTCATATACTTTCATATATAAAAATTTGATAAAATAATAAAATACCTATTTTTTTGTATACAATACGAGCTAAGCGCGTTATTTGAGTTTAACACTAATCTAATTCATTTATTTCTTGTGTTAATCGGTGGTGTCATTTTTGGATTCGTAACGTGTCGACGAGTAAAATTGGCACCCTAACTTTCATGGGTAATGTTACTCCGACTAACAAGCTGCCCTAATATATTCTTATTTTTTAGTTAGTCTAGCATTGCTCCTCTCTTATTATTATTATTTTTTATCTAATCTATAATTTCAAATTTTAAATTAAAATAATCCGGAGTGATTAAATTGAGAAAAGGAACCTAAACAATCATGCCAGTTGTCATATTACTTAACATTTTCTTGAAAGTTCCAATTGGTTTTAGAAATTATACACAATCTCTTAGGATTTAAACGTCAATGTACATCCAATTTCTTCAAATGTAAGAAATTTCCGCCCATAGACATACGTCAGGTGCATTGCTTCTCTGGCTTTCAACCATGTTACATCAGGAGCTTCCCCACATTAACGTTTTGCCATAATAATAATTTTTATCATTTAGACTTGGGTCAACAAAATGACACGCTTCTAATATTGAGCGTAAGAGTGATATTACGTCACCATTTAATAATGTAAGCCCTCTTGATAATTATTTTTATCGATAGATAAGGGTAGTTACTAAATGAAGTAGGATTCATTTCCCTAGATATTGATTTGTTATAGAATAGTAACACTATATAACAATGATAGAGCAGTGTCACCGTTATATTTAATATTTTCTCTCGTTGGTGGCCTTGTATGTCTACTCGAGCCACTACAAGGAAGCTAAATCTTTAATAATCATGCAAGAGTAGTATAAGATTTCTTTTAGTAAACATCTGTTATCCAATATATATAATCATACTAAAGAACTAATTACTGTAGTAAATTTTAAATATACTAAGTATAATGTTATCTGCAAACCATTTAAGAAAAAAATAGAATGTTAAAAAAAAAACTGAAATACACTTACAGTAACGTAGAACTGTATTAATAATAATACGAATGTAGAAATCCATAAATAATAATAATAATAATCTGAGTACTGTGTAATCATAGATTCCTTAAGATATATTTGTTCATTCTCAGTGTTTAAAATTGATAAGCAATTGTATCCAAAGATAGAACAAATTTCGTTTTTGAAGATGCAGAACTTCAATTTTTAAGACTTCAACGAACACAACTTCGTATTTTAAACTTGAATTTCTTAGAAAGAACAATGTAGCAATATACAGAGAGAGAGAGAGAGAAAAAAAAAATACTGAATACAGAATTCAAAATTAAGATGATAGAGAAAAGTTGAATGAGAGTGCAATTCTAGTAAGAAGTAAGAATTATTCAATTGTATGATTTAAGAGTGCAAGGTCTCACCTATTATAGATTCACTACTAATTTTTTATAAATGGTGCAACCATTTGTAATGGTGTTTTTTAGTCCAAATAGTATCAATAGTAATTTTATGAAAAAGTACAATCATTTGAAATAATGTCATTTAGTCCAAGATATATAAATAATAACTTTTATGAAAATTTGTGACAATTTGTAATAGTGGATTTTAACCAAAATATATTAATGCTAATTTTATGAAAAAATGTAACCATTTGAATAGATATCTTTAACCAAAAATCACCAATTTTGAACTACTAGTCTTTTATGTTATATTTACTTCACACCTTTCCAATTTCTCCCAAAAATTCACAAAAATACTTTAACAACTTCTCATTCAATACTTAATAGTTTTAAACAAATAAATATCAAAATATTTATTTAAAAACCATTATTTCCAACAACATAAACAAATTAAATCAAACCTCAAAAAAAAATGATGGTTCATGAATATTGAAGGTTTCATCTTTCTCCTTTCCATTTCTATAAAACAGTTGCATCATATTAGAAATTGAATGTAGTACTAACACAAGCTATACTACCCAAAAAAGGTACACCATACAGATCTGCACTCGCCTACACAAGTCCTACGAGCTTGTGGGGGGCAGCTAGCCAGAAGACACCATTCATCTCAGTGGATTCATTGTCAACAGTCAACATCATATCAGGATAAAGGTTTGTACAGAAGAAATCTCAATGGCATATGAGCAATGCTTCTGAAATGCTACACAGGAAGAGCGATATAAATGCAACTTCCACTTACTTCCAGCCAAGAAAGGGAAAGTAAATGCCATCCTTCTTCCTGCTTTCCTTCCAGATTTCTAGTATTTCATATGCTGAAGGCAAGTCAGATACATGAGAATCACCAACTTCATGGGTTGACATGTCAAGATCTAACTCATTAACGACGTCAAAGTCACCATGTTCTATGTACTCTGAGTTTCTGTCATGAAAACAATCTGCAGAATCAATAGAACCAATAGGTTCCAAGTCGTCAGCAAGATGCTTCGCCATCCTATCACCGTAATTTGCAGACTTCAAACATATATCAACTCCCTCCTCTCTATCATTACTAATGAGGTTATCTGAAGATACACTAATTACACTGCCTTTATTAACTTGAAGATCCTCGCGAGGGTTATAATTGAGGGTTCTTGCAGGAAGGTCGAGACCAACTGTACTTGTAGGATGCATATCTATACTTCCATCGCCAAGAAATCCCCTATTACAACCATCTGAAGGTAATTCACTAGCGGTTACATTCCCAAAAGCAACTGACTCTAATAAAACATTTGAACTGCCAGGGGCACAGAGAGATTGCAATACCCTTGAAAAGTTTGACACTGTGGCCTCTTTTGATAAATCATAATTACAGAGCGTGTCCAACAGTTCCTTTAAACTAGTCCTACTGATCCTGTCTCTGTTTTCCTCGAAGAGGTCTTTCCACTGATGTTCACTGACTTGAAAGGGAGCATGAGCTATGGTGTTAACACTAGCGAGAGCTCTTTCATAATCATGCCGTACAATGGCTTGACATACCATTTCAGTGAAGAATGATGGAGGGGGTATATCACCAGCTTCCAAAATTGTGTCAAATGCATGCTCGAGCAAATACCACTGCAAAAACACACCAGTTAAAACACTTCAAGGACCACATTGATTCGACAATGAAATAGTCCATCCAGCAACTTGAAAAATTGGGCCACAGCTAGACAAGAGAAAACTGTATGTTTGTCAATCGATATCAGAAGGGGGAAAAAACTCACTGCATCAGAGTTTAGTTTTTATTATCCCAAGGATAATTTTTGTTTAAGAATTTTTAGGCAAGCATTGTCGAAAGTTGAGTTCTAATAAAGTTGAAATGGACCTAAAAATTAACAAAAGCATTATCAACAGAGATGAGAGGTGTATAGCTTACTTTTCCAGCTCTAGATGCTTCCACAAGTAAGACTGCATGTTTTTTTGGATTAAGCTGATACCCAGAAAGAGCCATCTCCTTGTACACATACTCAAAGTATTCCCATTGGAGAGCCCTAGCTGATGCCTTAAGCATTGAGCTGTAAGTGTATGCATCTGGGCTGACAGAAGAACTAGTGTTATCATTCCGGCACATGTTAAAACCAGGATTAGCCGTCTTGGTCTCCTCAAATAAATCTTTAGCTTTAGAAAACATATCATTCTGAGCATAAACTTTCAACATGGCATTCACAATACCAATGTCAGGAGCACAATGGTCTTTACTGTGTTCAAAGATAGATACACAATCATCAATATGTCCACCATCCATGGAAGACAATATCATTCCAGTGAAGGTAACCTCCAAAGGTTTGGTGCGAGGAAGTCTTTTCAGCTTCTCAATCTGCAGATATGTTTTTTTGGAGGATAAACTTTCTTGTTCTACCACATGTAATAAAGCTTATAAATAATATATTTCCATACATTTGTGTGCAAACTCGAGCAGAAAGCCTTGAAATGTCAATGTGTAACATAAGACAATTGCCTACAAGATTCCGTTTTCAGTGTTATCTGCAATAAAAAGCCAATAACACAGATCCCAGGCATTGGTGTGTTTGTGGATCAAACATAAGTGCCCAGATCACAAACAAGCAGCAGCTCCATAAGTATGTGCTTCATGTTTGACCTTATAGTTTCCTTAAAAATGAATAAGGAAATTTGGTAGGTTTTTCTATCTAATTTTTACCTTACTTTGATTGGTAGAACATGAATCATGTGATGCAGTACACCGAATGCCACCCTCAGTTGTGCATGCGGTACTTCGTGATCAAAAAGTCCATGAAAAAGCACCTACCTAAGGATATGTTGCAAAGTCACCGCCATCGCGCTACACACTCTCTCTTCATGTGTTTTTATGTATACATATATAGTGGCCCATTAAAATAAAAAGAAAACTCCAAACAATATCCGGTCAAGGATCAAAATTTCATTTTGATACATTGTTTTAATCGGAAACATTTTGCAAACAAAATAGAAACGGATAAAAAATTAGAAAATTTATTTCCAAAACATTCTGAAATATTAGTCGAATTTACATAAATATCTTGAAAAATCTCGAAACATTGAAATCTTGATTTAATCACTCATTCATTTCGATCACCTTGGAAACGGAAACGTTTTAACTGTTTCGATCATTCGAAACAAAATTTTGATCCATGCATGGAGTAGGAAACCACAAAAAAAATGCATTTAAAATGGCCCTAATAGAAAATTTTCACCTAACAAATTGTTTGTCAAGTAGTCTTTTCTTTTCTTTTAAAAAAAACAATCTGTGAGTTAACCCAATTTCCAGAAAATTAAAAAAAAAAAAAAACGAAAACAATGCAAGTTCACCAAGATAAAAAAGATTATCCTTGTGGACTGAAAGAGGCCTTCCTCTTGGTATTATACTGAATGGGTATATAGAAAGTATGCCTTCAGAGACCAAGTATATATGTCAAGAAAACACAAGTCAAATGAACCATCTGATAGACAGTTCTTAAAGAACGCAAAGAAAAATCTACCTCCACCATTGCTTCTTGCCACCTCCCAGTATTGCAAAGGCAGCACGCTAGCTCATAATATACACAGGCGATTCCAACCACACCCCTTTGTTCCATCTCCCTGACTGCTTGAACAGCTTCATCAACTTTACTTTCAACCCAGAAAGCCTTGACCAGAACTGAAATGTTGCAGGTAAAATTCATGTAAGACACCATAAATCAACACCCTTGAGAGTGAAGGCCAAAATAGCAGTACCTTTATAAGTGAGGGCTTTAAGAGCTACTCCACTTCTTTTCATTTTCTTGAAGAACTCATGGACCAGGTCATACTTTCCAGATTGCAGCATTACCTTTCAACAAGTATTTCCTGTAAGACTTGAATATGAATACAATTTAAGGATAAATAACATTTTTTAGATGGAAGTACTTTGTTCCACTTTGGACACCAACCTATATATACCAGAAAAAGAAAATGGCTTTTGGCTAGAAAACTAATCATCAACTAATATGGTAATTTCAAACAAGATGGCAAAATTATTAGTGATCAATGACACGTGACTGAAACACAACTACAAAGGTATTTAAAGCAACATCATATTGTATTTTTTGACAGAAACACTCCATCACACATGATTCACTTGACAAACCCAATACCACATTCCCTAACTTAGCCATCACAACCGCATTTATCTTAGTATCATGTGTACAATTACTTAAAATTTTTTGTCTACACAAACCCAATGCATATCAAGAAAAAAGAAATTCCACTGTATTAAACATGAAATTTTAAAAGTCATAAAAAATTTGAAAGGGATGAAGAAAAGAACACCCTCACATAGCTGGTAGCGCCATTTTAGAGGCAGTGCGAGGGAAAAATACCCAATGTCTATAGTAGGTCCTCTCCATTTAATGATTTTTGCATAGTACCAATTTACATGGCTTCAGTCAACTACTTTTGTTAGAACCTAACACATGCATGAAATATCACATGTCAATAGACATTGAACTCCAGCAACTACCTCCATTGCAAGTCCATAAGTTGCACCATTTGGTTTCAAACCACTTTTCCTTAACTGCTCAAACACCCAATAAACTCCCCTCCATTGACGGGTTGGGACACAAGCATTCAGCACCTGGCCAACAATTCGGAAATGATCAAACATTTGTACTATAATGAACAGTGACAACTTTTATTGGGTAGAAGTTAATTGGGATACACAGCTCTCTTACGGCGTTATATACAACCGCATCAGGTTGAAGGATGGGATCCCAGTTCTTCCGGCACATATTTTTAATTCCTTTAGAAGGTTTCTGCTTCATACATTCAATAATGTTGATCAACTCTTTCAGAAGACCAGCTTGACCGAGTGCAACAGCAATACTGTGGTATGCAGGCATATCAGGATATATGTGGCAATCTCCCTAAATAACAAAAATAGTTAAATTCCATCTACCCACATCATGCAAAAACTATAAGGAACCCCAATTTTTTTTTATAAAAGGGACTTCTAATTATTACACGCATTAAATTGAAAACTTGAAGAGCTTCATGAGGCCTCCTTGCTTTCCCAAGAACAGCCAACAGTTTTGTGTATACAAACCTATCAAAAAGCAAACAATTTACATAAGGGATTAACATGAGAGCAAAGAAAATGCAAGAAGTAAATAACTTCCGTCAAGTCAGTCCAAATATGCCGCATATAACACTTTTGTCCAAGGACCTAATGCATTGTGGTCGTCGGATACGCAGTGGGTTAACGAAAACGAAGTCTACTATCAATCTAATAGTCACAATGCATTACACACCTAAATTAGGTCCCAAATTAGATACACAAGTGGCATTATTGTTTGTGTCAACCATAAAATTGTCTTGAAAGGATATCATCCAACGGTGGCCAGATTTTGGCTGAAGTTAATAGCATACTATTTTACCTGCTCTTATAATGCCTATGTTCTTTAGAGCTGTACACCCACTCCACTAGAGATGAAGCATGCCTCCACTGTCCTTTATCACCAAGCCGTTCCACAATCTTCAGCAATTGCCCTTCTGTAAATTGCAAACCCGACTGTTTCATCATCTTCGAAAACTTCCAGTCCTTCACAGTCAGCTCCGCACACCCACTCAACCTGTGATAAACCACAGACCACCCATCAACATCAAAAAACACACACACACACCCCTCATAAACAAAATTACACAATTTCATTCGTCCACACATACCTATCAACAAGAAATTGAATTGCTTCGACATCGCCGCCACGGCGCTGCTTCGGCGGTGCCCAGTTTCGCCTTTCGTTCCCGAACAAACCTTCCTCCATTTCAATATCATCATCCAAAAGCCACCGCAACTTATCACGCTCATTCTCAATAACATCACTCAATTCTCTCAAATGCTCCGTCCTCAGCTTTTCTCCACCATATAATTCACTCTCGCTCGCAAGCTCTCGCAATTTCAGCCTCTCCAAGCTCTCCCAAGGCCTCCCCACCATCCTTGTACCACTTCTGGTGTCAATTGCTTTAGTGAAAGTTTTGTACTCAGATTTTATAGTTTGGAAATGGGTTTCTTCGGCGATGGCTTGTTTTTGGGAGTCGGTGAGGGGTTGGGACTGGGCGGTTTGTTTGGCTAGACGGCGTTTTGATTTCTGGAGTTCCTTTTTGCGGAGGGTGTGAATGATTTTGGGTGTTGGGTAGACCCCTTTTTGGAGGAGATTTTGTTTGATTTTCTGGGTGTCCGATTGTATTGGAGGAGGAGGGAAGCGAGGAAGTACTGGTGAAGCTTCCATGGTGAGAACTGGAAGTGAGAGAGAGCGACTGAGCACGGATTTTGAAGAGCAAAGAGGTAAGGTTGCTTCCCGGTATGTATGGTCAGTAGTTGGTGGGCAAAGGAAAGTGAGACACTTGGGTTTGTGTTCGGGTGGGATCGAAGTAATGGGTTGTATTGTGTTTAGGGGTCAATTTATTATCGAAAAAAGCGTCTCACTTAAATTTTTATTTAAATTTAAATTAATATTTAAGTAAAAAATTTGATTTGATATATAAGACTCGAACGAACAAACTTAAATTTAAAAAAATAGAGCCTCAAATTTAAATAAAGTCAAACCTAAATTTAAAAGGGAGTAAGAATGATCATTGAATCTTTAAAAGATGATAAATCTTACAATTAAAGATTTGAGTAAATATTTGAGTAAATATTTGAGTCTTCCTTGATTTGAGTAAAAAAATAAGTTTTCCTTAATTTAGTATAAGTTTGAGTCAAGAGTTGGAACAAGTTTTTTAAATTTTTTTACTCAAATTTAAATTTGAGTCTAAATTTGAGTAAGAGTTGGAGATGTCCTAATGCTATGCTGACCAAATTAAGAGCTCAAATAACATGACAGTTGATTATTTGAAATCTTTATTGAGACCCAAATGACATGACACCAAATAAAAAAACTCAAGTCAACTGTCATGTCATTTGAGCTCTTAATTTGGTCTCAAAGTTTGATCAATGTTGATTTTTTACTCCAACGACGCGACTCGATACGAGTTTATGATACGAACTCAAAAATAACCCGATACACGAATACGAAATATAAATGAGTTATGTTTGGGTTCAACTTGTCAAAATCGAAATTGACACGATCAACCTGTTTATTTAAGAATTGACACTTTCTTTATTTTTTTATTTGCATGGTAATAAAAATGACACAATCAACATGTTTAATTAGTATTATAAAAATAAAATATTAATTATTTGTAACTTTTTATTAAATACTGACATAATTATTATATAAAAAAGATATTTTTACTCATTATTATTATTATTATTATTATTATTATTATTTAGAAAAAGTATCAGAATGGATTCAATTAACTGAAAATATAATCTTAAAGTTAAATTTTTTATTCAAAATTTATGTGAGTCAATACAAATACGAACACGAACACGACACGAAAATAAATAGATCAACTCGATACAACACGATTAATTAAATGAATTAAGTTTGAGTTGACTAATGTTCGACACAAACCCAATATGACACGACTTGGTGACCACTTGTAAACTAATACGCACCTTTTAATATTCTTATTGGGCTAGAAGTCTAAGTTGCGAAAGTTTTTGGCTAAAAATCCATTTGAAAAATAAATGTCTAATATATTCCCTAATAACATGGTAACCGCTCGTAAAATTGATTAAAAAATAAGCAATGTTACATTTACGAAATAATTAGCCTTAAAAATTAAACTTGATAATTATAATTATTAATTTCATTATACGTCTCAACATTTATTAAGACCCACAATCTATTCAATGGTTAAAATTATTAAGTCTAATTTTTAAATTCATCTAACATTACTCTTAAAAAAATAAGTTAATGCCGCCTAAAATCACGCCATTGTTATTCATGATTCCATCAAAAAGACGATAACTCATTACTCCAACAAAATGCATTTGAAGGCTAAGGAGCTGTTTAATAATACAATTTAAGATTTAAAACTAAATATTTTAAACATTTAATAAATTAAACCCGTTTGAGAACCTAAAACTCAATCTGCTTAATATTTTAAGCATTTTTTAAAAATATTCTAAAAATTTAAGTAGCAAGTCACTTACTTATCATTTAATGCTGAAAATGTTAGTCAATAAAAATTTTATAAATTTATCATAATGAACAAATATACATTACCACCATTGTGTCATCGCTGCCACCACCAACACTATCACGGTCACCACCACCACCAATGTACCACTGCCACGACTACCATCGTCGCCACCACTACCCTCACCACCAATGTGTCACCATCACCACCATTATCGTTGCCACCACCATTACCATTGTGTCACTACCACCACCACCATCACCATCATTATGTCGTCATCACCACCACTACCATTATACCACAGTTACTATCACAACCACTGTCGTCACCACCACTATTGTGCCAACACCACTATTATGTCACTGCCACCACCACCACCGTGGCCACCGCCACTACCACCACAATTGTGATAGTGGGGATAAGAATAAGACAGTTGCAGAGAGATAGTTAAAGAGAATGACAAAATTATAATAATAATAAATAATAATAATAATAATAATAATAATTAGACTTCAGGTCCTTATATTTGTCAAACAGTTAAATTCAATACTTAAATTTCAGTTGATACCAAATAGTCAGCGAATTAAAAAATTTAGCATTCAATACTTAAAATTCAGCATTCAATTTTCAGTATTCAACTTTCAGTTTTATCAAACATCACCTAACCCTACAATTGAAACAAATATTGAAAGGGTCAATATTCACCCACGAAAGTTTTGTTTTCTTTTTTTGCTAAATTTAGGATAATCTGAAACAATAAAAGATAAAACAAAATAAAAATTCATTGTAAAGCGAAGTTCTCAATCAGTTAAGATATGGGATGACTAATTCACTCTAATGGGAATGAGTAGCCACTTACCCCCAAACAATTGAACACAATAGAACTTACAATTGTGTTTATCATCGCTCGATCACTAAATTGTCAGTTTTAACTCCTTAAATCAGTCATAAAATAAGTAAGTCCATATTGAAAAATATTCCATTATCAAAGGTTTTGAAAATCACAATTGACTCCTCATAGACTTTTGAACAGTTTGTAAATGCTTACATGGAGGGAAGTGACAGAGGGTTTTGTCTTCAATATCAACGATCATCGGCAACTTCTTCTCACTATTCTTTCTCAATGGTTATCACCATAACTTTTTTGACATTTTTAATCCTATACTAAATCCAGATTGCAAATTCTAGAATGTATATATATACACACACATGTAGTTCTAATTTTTTTTTTATAATGTTATTATTATTTTACGAAGTCTCTCTATGTAACCATTGTGTGTGTTTAAATATATATTTTGGAATTTGCAATCTAGATTTAATATATGTTTGAACATGTCACTCTATGTAGCCGTTCTATGTTTATCACGATTTGAATACGATTGAACATGTCACTCTGTGGAATCACTATAGGTGTTTAAATATACATTTTGGAATTTGTAATCTAGATTTAGTATACGTTTGAATATGCTTCTCTATGTAATTGTTCTATGTTTATCACGATTTGAATACGATTGAACATGTCACTCTATAGAATCACTATAGGTGTTTAAATATGCATTATGGAACTTGCAATCTGAATTTAGTATATGTTTGAACATGTTACTCTATGTTTGGTCAAGATTTGAAGTCACTATATGTAATTATTGTATGTGGTCACTGGAGAGACTTTAGGCGGCCTACGGTCCCCAGACTGACACGTGTGAAGATGGATCTGTTGCAAAATCCCGATAGGCGCCGAAGAGGTGAGCCGAAAGATAACAGCTCGGAGGAGTCGAGTACGACAGTTGACATCGCATTTAATATGACTTGACTACTCATTTATGGCGATATGAGTGATGGTGACCAGGTATTAATGAGCATCTGCACATTAAGAGTCTGAGCCTATTATCATGATGGCTAAGCATAGATGGATAGTACGTCGAATGTACACGTTCGGTTCGGCTTCCCCTGAGGAACTGTTCCCCTGAGTATTCAATGTTCAGCTACGGGTGTTAGACGCCGATCTGAGGGATGTGGGTACTCGGTGGCAGGTATAAATGCTTGGCATGGAGCCGAGCACTCATCCTAGCGTTGAGTAGGAGAAGACTTGAGTGACCAACACTTATTGCACAGTAGGAGTTGTGTCAGACATTAAATGTCCAGATGGGACTTGAGTCCTTGAGCAATCATTGCTAATCCAGGTATAAATACCCCTCAGAAAAGTGAACAAAGGTATGCAACATTGAATAATAATAGATAATTCATTGAGCTTGAACCTTTGACCTTACACTGACTTAAACTTTGGAAGGGATTAGCTGGGTGTTCACTTGGCCCTCTTTTTCTAACCCTGTGGTTATTGCAGATTCATCAAGCTGAAGGTCGTTATCTCAAACTATTACAGGAATCCAGTGCAATTTAGCGTCGTCTGTGAGAAGTCAAGCATCTTTCCCTGTAGCGATCATCTAATGGTGAACACTCGATCTCAGGGTGAAGCAGCGAATCTACGTGTAAAGGACGCAGAGGCTGTTAGGCTTCCAGTGGTCCCAGAAACCAGGCCCTTTGAGCCAGTCAAGCGGAGGAGAGCATTCCTCGCATCGAACGCTCCTTGTGTATCAAGGCATTGGGGGGCACCACCTCTTGGCTCACGATATTATTGAGATGGTGGAGAAGTAGATGGGCAAATGAATTAAGCAACTTGAAAAGGAGAACGCCAAGGTTCGGCAACGACTTGATGATTTTGAGTAGTCGACGAGTGCGAGTGGGCGGAGTTGGGAGCGGATGGACCGGAGCCTCAGCGAAAACTCCTGGGGTCATAAGCAAAAGGCCCCCAGGAAACGCTGGCATGGGCGCTCTCTTGAGGAGCCTGATCGTCAAAGCGGGTGGTCGGGCCCCAAGGGGAAATCAGAATCGGGCCTAAAGATGAGCTTGTCTCAATGGGACCTCTGTCGAGGGATACTAGAGGACAGCAGGACAGTCGAGTCCCAGGCAGAGTCCATGCTCAGGTGGCCAAGAGGAGGAAGGCCCCGAAAGGATCCCGGGTGTGCCTCGACGCACATCGCAAGCTCGAGCTCAAGGGTGATGTCGACGAAATCACCTCCCCGTTCGTTCGGGCTATTAGGGAGACCGTAATGCAGAAAAAGTTTACCGTCCCACGATTCAAAATCTATGATGGAAAGATAGATCCCGAAGCTCACTTGCGACAATACAAATAGTTGATGTCCAT